AAAAGGCATACTACTCAACTAGCCATTATTTTTATTATTAGGCGTCGTTTGAAGATCTTCCATGGGCTGGCGTCCTATTGTGACTGAAATGACCTCAGAATAGTGTACACGATGATCAGTATTACAACCTTACTGAATGCCGATTAGTAAGTGAGTATCAATCTTTCGGAAAAGTCGGTATTTTACCTGACTTCTGAGACGTACTGTAGAAAGGGATGTGTCGCAAGCTTCGAAAACATTTCTGTCCTTCTCAGACCACCTACCAAGAGGCCTACAGCTGCTGAAAATAGATCTTATCAAACTAACAAGCTGACAGTATCATATTCAGATTATGCGTAGGGAATTTGAGTTTTTGTAATTAGCAAGGAATCCCGGTCGCCTTACGCGCTTCGTGTCTGGTATTGTCATCACGTTTTATCCCAGAATCCGAAATCGGATAGTTCCAACGTCGCGAACAAAAACAGCTATCACCGACTCACAAACTGATCCCAACCGCACTGGCTTGCGCGCAAAGCAAATTCGCCACAAAATCTATCACGTTCTCTCACTCTCCGCCCCACATACACCGCAGCCAACTGGCAAGACCAGTCGACTGCACAGAAGATTTACTATCTCGTGAAATGTCGACGGAAATTTGGCTTCGTGTTGTCGCATCGCAAAGTTCTTTTAAGTAGGCTTGTAATATCTCTAATCGTGAAGCCGGCTCCCAAGATGTCGACTTTAAGCAACTCGAGGCGTTTGGCGGGATTAGAACCCGCGCATCAGAGAAGGCCTTTGCCAGAGGCCAATGCTTTAACCGCTATGCTACAAACGCTTCGAGTTTTTTCACAATTGGTTCAACTCAAATTAAGCAAATCTGCCAAACCTCCTAATAATGACTTTAAGCAAGTTTGATTTGGCACTCTGCCCACACTGAACTGTATAAATTGGCTGCTTCAGTTGCATACATTTTTCCCCCTATAAATGTAACAATATTTATCGAAACGTACAAGAAAAATATTTCTTGCAGTCATGCGGTAGCAAATTACGTCTTCTTCAAATTGAATACTGGAAAGACACACGTATTTCGGTTTTAAATAAATTTCAACCAATGAATTGTTTAAGAACCTTAAAGGTCCGCTTATTATAAATTCCAGCTGCCATTTTTACTGCCGCATATAAAGCACACAACATGGTTCTGTCAAATTAAAAGGTCTAAGAGCTCTATATGATGTCTGACTTTCCTTGCACAGAAGATGTACAACTTCTAGTATGAAGAACCACAATTAAAAATGTAACGACAGGTTAGGTTCAAATTTCTGCGGCAGCTGGAAACGCTTTTGAAAACCTTAAGACAACAATTTTAAAGGCACAAGAGATTAGGAAGACGCAATTTGGTATGCAATGAAAATACAAGAATTTTTTTTAGTGCATATGTCTATTACATTTTTAAAACAGCGAAAATAAACAGGAAAGGGTACAGTTCTTAATTGGTCCCTTTCTGAAAGCGCCGTTATTTTTCAAGCGGATGGAAAGAAACTCATTCAAAAACTGGCATCCTGATGTGCCTGAAATTTCTTCGCAGTATACTGCACGCTAAGTAATATTACAACCACACTTAAGTTAACTCAGCAAATCGAAAACCCATGTCAGAATTAAGGCCGAAACATACTGAGATCGAATATCTACGAGGGGTGGGCGTGAATGAAGTTGCCGACAAAGTCAAAGAGTCCGTTTACTCCTTCCACACACGACCTTTTTTTCCCTACCGGGGTCAGGGAATCTCACCTTCCACTTATATGCAGATGCTGTAAGGGCTATGTTGCGAAAGAACCATCGTAGTGTGAGCCACAGTGTTGAGAAGGACTGGGCTAACCCGTCAAATGCCGACTATAAGCAATATCCACCGGTTAGTGTACAGGTCGTCATTCTCCTTGTGCGGAGTGCGCCACGTAAATCTTCTCTCACTTAAATGTTATTCACGCCAAGTCACCTTGTTGTGAGACAAACGATGGATATCTTGGGATACGCCATTAAAAATATCAAGATTTAATTGTTAAATTCTCTCTAAGGCGACACAGTGGAAGTGATGAGCTCCTGATCCACCTAATCCGGTAACTTCTATTTCTCAATCTAGGCGCACCATGATTACAACTACTCTCTCCTGGTTACAAAGTCGTTGGACATCCTGACAATCCTTGTTCCTCCAGCCTTGCCTGCTGTTATGACGACAGGTCTCTTTCTGGCCCAACTGCGACTGAAAAAACATGGTATATTTTGTATCAATCCCTCAGCCATCAACATCGCGGGAACGCTTAACACTGTTGTCTTCGACAAGGTAAGGTTTGGCTTTCCTGCATTGTTCCCTGTAAAACTTTTACAGACTATATACAGTCAGTGGAGCCACATTGTAGCCTCTGCAGCCA